TTTTAGACTATTCTCTCCCCCATAGACTTCAATGCCGTAAACATATTTCATGCAGTTTTTCTCAGTCTTACCCCCACCCCAATGCCAGTTATGTCTTGTGCTGAGTTTTCAAATTCTTGTACCTCTTTACTTATTATTCCAATTCTTTCTTCCATCATCTATAACTTCCTCAGCAGCTATTCGTATGACTCCAAATTATTATACTTCTTGTGCCTTCTTGTCTCTGGGATATTCATTGGGTCCGTAAAATTACCTGCATTTTTGCAAGAAAGTTGTTTTGCTTTCTCACAATGTTTGAAGCTGTTGCTGCCTTCTTGCCATTATGTGAAGTCCTTCTGCATATGTGTTACGCCATTTCTGTTCTTTGTGCACAAGTTGTTTGTTGACAGTTCTTTATGTGGTTGTTATGTGCTCTGAGTCTCCTGTGACTCACAGCAACCTTATATACAACGGCGCTGAAGCTTGCCCTATTCTAAACCAGTCTCACTGACTCTGACATACCTACCCTTATTACCCCCATTACTATATCACTTCATCTCATCTGGGTCTTCCTCTCATGTTGGTGCCAAGAGTGTTGATTGTGGAGCTAAGAAAATTGGAAATATTAACAATCTTGATCTCCTCTCCATCTATCATGGTGCTGCCAAGGGGCCCATGAGAGAGAATCTTTGTTTTCTTGATGCTGAGCTTTAATCCATTATGAACATTTCAAACCTTGACCTTCTGCAGCAAGTGGTTCAAGTCCTCGTAACCTTCAGCAAGCAAAGTTGTGTCATCTGCTTAACATAGGTTGTTTATGAGTCTTCTTCAAATCCTGTTGCCTCATTCCTGTGATAAAACCCAACCTCCTGAATGATCTGTTCTGCATATAGACTGAAAAGATATGGAGACAGAATGCATCCCTGACACACTGCTTTCCTGACTTTGAACCAAGCAGTGTTTCCTTGCATTGTTTTGAGGACTACTTCCTGGTCTGAGCATAGATTTTACATGAGCAAAATCAAGTGTTCTGGGATTCCCATTCTCCTCAAGGTTAGCCAAAATGTGTTGTGATCCACACAGTCAAATACGTTTGCATAGTCAATGAAACTCAGATAGTCATTCCTCTTGGTGGTAATGTCTCTAGTACTATGGCCTCTTCTAAACACAGCAGCATCTTTATGATATTATTTATTATTTGCAGATTTAAAGAGTTCCCTTTATGGGAGAGGACAACTCATTCCACCAAAAGTCCTTTTTGGTCCCGTGCAATGTGAAAGCTCACCTTTCCTAATTTTTTCACGCCTTCTCTGGTCTGCAGAGCAACCATGAAAGAGTCTCTCCTGGGTGCATCGTACCTCTCCTAAATTTTATTATTTTCTTCAGTGGTCCACAGTGGGGCTAGGGATAAATTTTGGTGATGCATTCTTAAAGTCAAGTTCACCTTTTATTTGTGTTTATGAATTTTGTAATCATGGTTCAAAATCAGTAAAGGAGTTTATCAGGGATGCATCCTGTCCCCATGTCTTTTCAATCTGTATGCAGAACAGATCATTTTGGAAGCAGGCATTTATAAGGAAGAATGTGGCATAAAGTTGGAGGAAGACTCATCAACAACCTTGCTTGTTGAAACTGAAAAGTCAAGAACTATAGTCTTTAATATGGATTAAAGCTCAATATCAAGAAGAAAAAGATTCTCATCACTGGGCCAAGTGGCAGCACCATGATAGATGGAGAAGAAATTGAGGTTGCTAACAATTACAGCTTTCTTGGCTTCACAATCAACACTCTTAACACCAACAGTCAGAAAATCAAAAGACAAATTGCACTGGGAAAATCTGCTGTCAGGGACTTCTCCAGAGTGCTGAAAAGCAACGATATCAGTCTAAAGACTAAGATGCACCTAGTCCAGGCCATGGTCATCACAATTACTTGTTATGCTTCAGAGAGCTGGAATTACTAAGGCTGACAGAAGAAGAATCGATGCCTTTGAGTTGTGGTGCTGGAGAAGAGTCTTGAACGTACCATGGACTGCCAAGAGAACAAATAGGTCTGTGTTGCAAAAGGTGAAACCAAGTCTCTCCTTTGAGGCTAGGATTTTGAGACTCTATCTCACATACTTTGGCACATAGCCAGGAGAGATCAGTTCTTAGTAAAGGACATCATGCTTAGAAAGGTGGATGGTCAGAGTAGGAAAAAAAGACCCCAGATGTGATGGATTGATACTCTGATTGGGACAATGTGGGTTGATGTGTTGGAATGAGTGAGACTGGCTCAGGACATGGAAGAGTTCAGAGCTACTATACATAGGGTTGCTGTGGGTCTCAGGTGACTTGATGACACATAACAACAACATGCATTTTGCATTCCTTTTTCAACCTGTTATCATCTTATCTTGCTTTCTACTTCATAATGCTTTAAATATTACTTATTATTAAATATTAGTATTGCATATTAATTAAGTAAATGGTAAAGATAACAAACATTTTTAAGTCTCTATGTTCTAGGCATAGTCAGAAGTATGATCTCTCTCTCTCTCTCTCTCCTGTAAGGTACAGAAGTACATAATCAGTTTTCTAAATGAGAAAATAACAAGACACAAAGAGTTAATCTTACTTGTCAGATGCTTTAAGGAAGTGTCTTAGATATTAAGGCCCCACAGTCCCAAGTCAATCTTAATCACTACATGTTGATTGCTGATGCAGTTACCTGAATATTTACTTTCAGCAGCAGTGTCACTACAAGTATTCAAAAACTTAAAGATAGAGTTAGTATATCATGTATTATAAAAAATGCATATCTGAGAAACAAAAGGGATAGTATAAGTAATGTGTCAATGTAGCTGGTGTAAATAAGACCATCAAGGGTAAAACAAAATATATTTCACTGTACGTACATACAATCATAGTCTAAATTTATGTGTAACATTAGAGCCAGTTAACACAAAACATTATCCAAGCAAACTGGCTCATTTTCATTTTCTTACTATTTATCCTATCATTTTAGTTAACTACTGTTAAATTGACTTCAACTTATGTCAGTCTTATGTGGTACAGAGTAGAGTGGCTACCAAAGGTTTTCCTCGCTGTAATCTTTATAGAAATTTTTTTTCTTCCATAGAGCCAGTGGATGAGTTCTAACTACCAAAATTTATGTTAGTGGCTAATAATAAATTAAAAATTATACTCAAATTACTATTTATCACTTTGAGTATATAATTTTTTTGTATTTTGGTTGAATTTTTTAAAATATAAAGTTTGAGAAATAGAGACTATGTCAACCTGAGTTAAGTGAACATTGTTGTTGTAGTTATGTGCTGTTTTATAATGACCCCATATACAACAGGTCTGAACTCTCCCCTATCCTGAGCCAGTCTCACTGACACTGACACTGACACCCCTAATACCATCACCATAGTTGTCATGTCAATCCATCTCATTGGGACTCTTCCTCTCTTGCTCTGTACCTCCACATTTCCAAACACGATGTCCTTCTTCAAAAACTTGTCCCTCCTGACTATGTGCTAAAAGTATGTGAGACTGAGCTTCAAAGTCCATGCTTCCAATGAGAAACTTGGTCTTAGCCTCTCCAAGACAGACCTATTTGTCCTTCTGGTGGTCCATAGTATATTCAAGACTCTTGTCCAGCACCACAACTCAAACACATCCGTTCTTCTTTTGTCATCTTAAGTTATTGTCCAGCTCTGATGCATAGCATGCAGTTGTGATGACCAT